ACAGACAGTCCAGTTCGAATCAATTTTTTCCCCCTCATCAATGTAATAACAAAATGACGTTGAACGAAACAATGACACGGTCCATTTCTCCATACGGGGTGTTACCAGTATTTTTAATTTTCACAAATCTTAAAAATACAGTTAAATAGTGGACTATTTGAAATAGGTCACAAAAATCAGTATTGTTTAACTGATCGCAAATGGAATATTATAGGCTTTTTGTTAAAAAAAAATCAAGCTATACGGTTATGTTCAAAGTGCACGTTTTCATCCAACCCTATCTACCACCCTAACCCAAAATAATATTGTTAATATTTGGTAAATATTCTTTAAAAATTTTATATGTATATTATAACATGTAGACAAGGGTTGTATTAAAAAATATTTAACAATTGGTAGAGCATGGACCCTCACCTATAAGAATGAAGCTCTGGAGTAGAGCTCTAGAGAACCTCCTGCTGTGCCAAGTATTATCCCTTCAGTGGCTGGGAAGACAAAGGCCTGGAAGGAGCTGGGGCAGTTGGGTAGGTGGGGAACACTTGGAAGACTCAAGGCAGCAGCTATCTATAACTTATACAAATTATTCCAGGGTCTTCACTTTACTGCTATACTAGTGTGTGCCACCTCATAGCAGTTCTGTGGGTATACACACACCCCCTAGAAAAACCAAAACCAAAACGACATTATACCACGCATATTACTCTACAGCTTGCGTTTTTCACTTGATAATAGAGCACAGACATCCATTCATGTCAGTGCACAGTGTGTCATTCTTACTAATGGATGCAAGGTATCCATTGTGCAGTCACTTATATAGCCAATCTATTATAGATAGACACAATTTAAGTTTACTACCGAACAAGTTACCCCTTACTCTCTGTACTTCGACAAGTTTTCCTATGGTCATTAGGGATAATGTAATGTGTGTGGTTTTGTTATCAAGGTAATGCTGACCACTTAAAACTTGGGAAGTAGTCTCTCTTTTTCCAATTTTCTGGAAGAGTTTACGTAAAACCAGTATTATTTATTCCTTAAGTTTGTTAGAATTCACCAGTGAAGCTATCTGAACCTAGTTTTCTTTGTGGAAAGATATTTAACTACAAATTCAATTTCTTTGGTAGATGTAGGGTTATCTGTTTCTCCTTGAGCGAGGTTTGGTGGTTTGTGTCATCAAATTTACTTCAATAAAGTTGTTCAAAACATTCCCTTATTACCTTTTTGATATGTGGAAATGTTCTCTGNGGCCGATCTGCTTCACCTGGGAAGAGCACAATGATAATACCAACATGGGCCAGTGAAGCGATGTCCTCCACAACTAGACTGAGGAACAAAAAGGACAGCAACTTGTCTGTTCCCCTCCCTTAGTTTCCCAATAAAATCTTAAAAAAAAAAGAAAAGAGAAAAGAAATACTGGAAGGATAAATAAGAAATAAAAATGGCTACTAATAAATCAACTTGCTTTAAATTAGAGCAACACTAGGCTCTTTGGAAATAATTTTGGTAAAAGTTACTGTCCTACCTGGAAATTCCTCTCTTCCTTCCCTCCCTTTTCTCTTTCCCTTCCTTCCTACAAAAATGTATTATTTGCCTGCAAGGGAGTTTTGAAAGACAGGAAGGATACTAACTCATTGGCTGAGGAGCCAAGAAATCCTGTGGCTTTAGTTTTGCTGATACCTAAGAGGTCTGGGATATACAGTCCAGGGAGTTACAATAAAAACATTGATTGATAATGAGTGTTAAAGCTTTAATTATATGTTTATTGGGCTTTTATATTGCTGGGCATATCCTTTGTCCATTTGTTCTTGGGTGGTTTACCTTGTCCTTGCTAATTGGTGTTAACTCTTCATATATAATAAAAATGCCTGTTGCTTATATGTAATAAATGCTATTCGCCCAGGCGGTGGGGGAGGGGGGAAGCTCTGGTGAATGAGATCCCTCAGAAACAAGGGATATCACTCATCTTAGTTATGTTAGAGGAAAGGCTTCCCCAAAGCAGCCTAGCTCCTTGGACTGAATGTCTGAAAACAGTCTGGTCTATAACACATTGGCTCTTGCTTCAATTTGTCTCACGTTTGATCACTTTGCCCAACTTCGGAGGCTGATCATGCTGAAAAGACTAGACACTGCATACACTGGAGCCTAATGTATTTAGTTATATATGATATTTTACTATGTTCAGTGTGGTTCCAACCACCCACTCCCCCACCATTGGTTGATTCTATAAATCAACTCCATTTTGATGATTAAAAACACCCAAATTGGTTGCATCTTTGTTAGATTCTTTTTTTCTTTAAAGAAACAATCCATTATATTCTTCACATTAATTGTTCCCTGTGTGACAGACGTGAACAGAAACACATCCTCTATATCCCAATTTCTTCCTCCACTGGCTGAGCAATAGAATAAGGCAGGCAATAAGAATAGAATAGTAAATGATCAGCACACCCATCGCTCTGTAAAAATGTGACTCCCCTAAAACTGAGAAATCAGAAAAAACAGAACTTAAAAATACCTGTACTTTTTGTTCAGCACCCACAGTTTTCCCAGGGGAGTGGTTTCCAAGTTGCTTATTCTCTTGAGATTCACAAATGTCTCCTTTAAGCCTTTCAACCTAAAATCCAAAAGTTGGAAGGGGAGAAGTTGCTTTGTTTTTAAAACATACAACTAATAAATGAATACATTCTTCATGTAAAAAATTCAAACACACATAGGTCTATAGAGTAAAAGTGATATTTTCCTTCACATAACCTTCCCCCACAATCCCTTTCCCCTTTTCAGAAGTAATACTGTTTGCGATATACCTCCTGAAATTTATCTTGCATGTATATATGTATACATATATAAATATCTATCAGTATTAGATATATAAATTTACAAAGACAACCTGAGCAGTCTTTGTCTATTCATTCTTTCTTATTGCAGTTTTAAATTATAAAATATACATAGCACAAAATTTACCATGTTAACCATTTTTAAGTATGGAGCATTAAACATATTCACATTATTGTGCAACCATCACCACCATCCATCTCCAGAATTCTTTTCATCTCGCAAAATTGAATCTACACTCATTAAACAATAACTCCTCATTCTGTCCTCCCCTTCTGCCCCTAGCTACTACAACTCTATTTTGACTACTCTAGGTAACTCATATAGGTAAGTGGAATCACACACTATTTGTCTTTTTGTGATGACTTGCTTATTTCAATTAGCATAATATCTCCAAGGTTCATCCATGTTGTAGCATATGTTGGAATTCCCTTCCTTTTTAAGGATGAATAATATTCCATTGTATATACCACATTTTGTTTATCCATTCATCTGCTAATAGATACTTGGGTTGCTTCAACCTTTGGCTATTATGTATAACAGACTATGAACATAAGCGTACAAATACCTGTTAAAGTCCCTGCTTTCAGCTCTTTTGAGTATATACCCAGAAGCAGAATTGCTGGATTATATGGCAATTCTATGTTTACTTTTTAAAGAAAGTGCCATGCTGTTTTCCACAGTGGCAGTCCCGTTTTACATTCTCACCAATAATGCACAAGGGTTCCAATTTCTCCACATCCTCATCAACATTTGTTATTTTTTTGTTGTTTTGATCACAGCCATCCTCATGGGTATTTATCCATTCTTGATATAAAATTTCTCAAGCACTTGGTATATGCCAGGCATTGTGTTACAGACTCTAGAGATATGACTGTGAAATGAATACATACTAAAACTGAAGAGATATATAATATATCCAGAACTTGGAAGTATATATTAAAAAGTAATAAATTGCTAAGGAGAAATGGTTAAAAAATATAACACAACTAAAGGTATAGTATTAATAATCTCATACTTATCTAACATAATAGAGTAATAACTTCTATTTGGTAAATGTGTTAAGTATAAACTATTATCTAGGGCCGGCTGAGTGGCTCAGTTGGTTAACAGCTTGCTCAAGAGCACGAGTGCTGAGCAACAGGGTCGCCAGTTCGATTCCCACATGGGCCAGTGAGATGCGCCCGAGCTGAGCTGTCGCTGAGCTGCCAACAGGGGGCAGGATAGCTCAGCTGGTGAGAGCACATACTCCTAACAAGACTGCCTGTTTGATGGTGGGCTACACCTGTCTGCAACTAAAGACTGAACTTGGTACCTTGAGCTGAGCTGTTGCCTGGATGGCTCAGTGGATACAGCGCACACTCTTAACAACAAGGCTGCTGGTTCAATTCCCGCACGGGATGGTGGCTGCGCCCACCCGCAGCTAAGATTGTAACCAGCTGAGCAGCGCAACTGAACTTCGAGCTGAGCTTGCTGCGCCCTCCACAACTAAGATTGGACAACTTGGCTGTTCCCCTCTCCCAACTCCCCCAATAAAATCTTTTAAAAAACCACCAAAAACTATTATCTATATCCTTATTAAAAAGATCCTAAACTGACATAATAGCAATAAGATTACTGTTTAGCATAGGTAGTTAAGATGAATAAAACATGAATACTAATGGAATGCATCCAGGTCAAAGAATGCCATCTTCCTGGAATGCTAGAACCCCGGGTATTAGTCCTCGCCAATGACCAAAGGTGATGTATATCTATGTGGCTCTACTGCTGATTGTCATTCCATGCACATTTAAATAAATCCTAAGAACAAACGAAATCCAACAACATACCGTTTCTCCAAGCACTTTTTTTTCTGAGTCAAGTGATCGAACCCGATTTCGTAAAGCCAGAATTTCCTCATCTAGTCTCTGATTGTGTTCCTTTGCTTTCTTTAGGTCAATTGAATCTAAAACAGAAAAAAGAACGCAGTCTACTCAAACGGATCGAAGTTTTAATTGGGGGCATGAACTCTAAAAACTAAGGCAGTGCTATTTCCTACCCTTCTTGTCAGGTCTCTGCATATGTGACTCTCTGCACAAGAGAGCCACTAGGCTGTCAAAGTCCAGCCCTAGAACATTCTACCAACCTAATGAAGCAGAACAGAATGTTTTTTATTTCTCATATCAAGACAAATGAACTGGACTTTTTGTGTGTAGGGTTTCTAGCAATAGAGGTTCTTCCAGGACCTGGAATTTTAAAATGGTTGAGCCTACCTTCTAAAAGTTAAATGACAGAAAATGATCTTCCTGCCTTCTTTGCAGTCCTGTCTCTTACACACCTCACGTACTCATAGGTACTTCTCCCCCACTCATTAGCAGCAGGGCCCCCGTAGATGACTGAAGTAGTGAGCTAAGAGCAGTGAATGGACAAATTTTCCAAGTTAAATCAAGTTAATTCATCAAAGCCATCTTTCTGTGTATAGCACCACTACCGTGAAAATGGTAGTCCACGGTCAGCTTAGCACTCCATGGTAAGACAGGCTCTTTCTGGCACT